TGTTGTCTTATTAGGAGCCAAAGTTTAATTTTCTATATGGAAACTATTAGGCATTATATTTGAATGAATATATCTCTTCTATTTGTAATCAATTGCGGACATTACGACAAATTATGACATCCTTCAGACCCGATTCGCGTGGCTGATAAGGAAGCCCAGTTAAAGTTTAAATCAAAGTGTTTTGGTTACTCGATGATGCATGAATTGTTTTAACATGTTTTACTGCTTTATTATTTGTTGATAAACAAACACATCGGCATACATATGACCACCCCATAGCCCCTAGCCAATATCAATGATCGATTATTTATGGCAAGCAATCAAAAGTGAGCTTTTTGCTTATTTATTTTGGTTGATTTTAATTGAGATCGGTTGAATTGAAAATATGTTTAATGGCCAAAATGAACATCTTTGAATTTTTTAGCACATAAGAGGGCAGCTTAAAATTTTTTTGAAAGTCGCATGTGGGTATAAAAAGAGATCGGAATAAATAAATACTAAAAATATAGTTCTAGCTTTCATAGCTCCTTCTATTTATCTGTATCTTTATTTATTTCTCTTTCTCTTTCTCTTTCTCCCTATCGTTCTCTTAATCTCGTAATTTTTATTTATCTCGCTTTCTCTCTATCTTTTTCTATTTTTTATATCTATATACATATTTCTATTCATATCTCAGCTTCCGCTTTCTAGTTCTTTAAGTAATATGATTTCTGACAAATGCATTTGCAAATTTGCCGCGCCCCTATTAAACGGACGATTCTCATTAATAGCGTTTATAAGGTCAAACGAACAGACGGATGGACGGACAGATGCATTACACAAAATCGATATATGTACTCATTTCACTTTCGTGAATGAGTATAACATATACTAAAAGCTCCTATATTATTATTAAATTATGGCGTCTATAAAAAACATGTTCTCTTCTCTTTTGAAAAGGATTTGCATTGTCCCACTTCTTTTGATTCGGTGCTTTGCTGGCCCCGTACCAAGGCAAGCAGCTGGGCTGTTCTTTCCTGCTTCGAGGAGTTTAAAGGTGTACACTACGACACAACAGGTGAGAATTGGCTGACCATAACTATTCGGAATAGTATCTACATGGCCTGGTCCTCCCCGCTCATAGAGAATGCAACACGCTATTGCCACGCGAATGGCACGTGGAATCACTACTCCAACTACAGCAGGTGCCATCAGCAATCGGGTTCCGTGGCTGATGTTCCCGAGTTTTCAGCCAGCGTCGATCTGCCTGCCATTATATACGCTGGTGGTTATTTCATAAGTTTTGCAACTTTGGTGGTGGCGCTAATAATATTCCTAAGCTTTAAGTGAGTCGTAGTGCCTGATCGAGCCACCCTATAAAGCATTCCTTATTAATTTCTCTTTGCTGCAGAGACTTGCGTTGTCTGAGAAACACAATCCATGCGAATCTATTTCTAACTTACATCACCTCGGCCCTGCTCTGGATCTTAACACTCTTCCTGCAAGTGGTTCGTAAATATTGCTGAGAATCACAATAAATCCGTGTAACCACCTTAGGGTAATCCCATTCTTTCCAGATAACCACTGAATCTAGTCAGGCTGGCTGCATTACGCTGGTCATAATATTCCAATACTTTTACCTGACGAATTTCTTCTGGATGTTTGTGGAAGGTGCGTTTGACGTCTCCTTGAACTTATAAGTAGTTAGCTTACCCATTATTATTTGCAGGTCTCTATCTGTATATTCTGGTCGTGCAGACGTTCTCCAGCGAGAATATAAGCTTCGTTATCTATGCACTGATTGGCTGGGGCTGTCCGGCTCTCTGTATTTTGGTTTGGTCCATTGCCAAGGCCTTCGCATCGCATCTGGAGAACGACCATTTCAATGGTGTAAGAGAGTCATAGGTTTCGGTGTTTCCACTGCTGATAACTTATTTATGGTAACTCATGTAGCTGGAAATTGAATGCACCTGGATGAGAGAATCTCACATTGATTGGATATTTAAAGGACCCGCCTCACTGGCTATTCTCGTTAATTTGGTTTTTCTCATACGTATTATGTGGGTAAGTCTTCATCGTACTCATTTTATGACTTTGACATGAATCGGCACACTTTGTCTTATCTAAGGTACTCATCACTAAATTACGCTCGACTCAAACATTCGAAACGCGACAGTATTATAAGGCCTCAAAGGCTCTGCTGGTGCTAATACCCCTCTTTGGCATCACTTATCTACTGGTGTTAACGGGCCCCGAGCAGGGCATCAGTCGCAATCTCTTCGAGGCACTACGCGCCTTCCTACTCAGCACGCAGGTGAGAATCAGACGCACTCCAAACGTTAATATTTTGTCATTCTATAACTTGTTTCTCTCATATTAGGGTTTCTTCGTGGCGCTGTTCTATTGCTTTCTGAACTCGGAAGTGCGGCAGACGTTACGACATCGTTTCGTCATATGGCGGGAGAGTCGAAACATTCATCGCAGCAACTCCCGCAAGAACCGCAGGTGCGTTAACTCTTCGATCAGCTTTATAAATGGGTACAAATTGCACAAACGTTCATATAAGCATTCGATCACTATTTATCTGGGTTATTGTTGTTGTTGTCTTCATCACATCTCATTGGACTTCATTTTTTATTTATGTTCTCCTCTTTTGCTGTGGTTCGCTGTTGTCGCTTAAAAAACTTAATTTCCATTTCAGACATCGCACATCCAAAGACTACTCGCAGCGATCGCGTACTGAAAGTCTACGGTGCGTATACGCAATTATCCCGCTTAATCTTGTAGTTGCATCGTACCCCTTACCGAATCGCCTCTTTCACGTTTTGCTTCAACTAACCCCTACTAAGTGCTGCATGAAAAGTTTCTTTTTATACTCGTTCACAAAGCTGCGCAAATTGAATATTAGTTTTATAGCATGTCCGTCTGGTCGTCCATCTATTTTCATCCCAGATACAAATCTATGTGCACATTGTCACTCTATGCATATTTAAAACAAAATCTAAAAATATTGTAGGTTTTCCAATTTTCACCCTTACAGAAAAACACATTACTGATTTACTCCAACAGTAAATTTAACTGTTTTTTTTTTTTACTGTGAACGAGTATAAAGTTTAATATATTTTAGTATCTAACCTTGTTTATTTGTACTATTTTTATTCGATTTTAATTTATTGTTTTATTACTTTACACCTTGTATAATTTTTTAGACTGACCTCGACAAGTCCCGTGCCCGCTGGACATTTAGAATGATACCTATGTACATACCGAGCGCCATTGAGATTTCCTTTTAAATACCTACATATACATATTAGTGCTGTATAAACATATATATATTTATATGTACATATAAGCAAAACATAGTTGTATATAAGTATTTTATTGAGCTGACTATTAAAGTATTAACTTTTGTAAAGTATAGCGCACCGATTTATTCATTCAACTTCAAACTACATCAATTATTTTAATCCCGATCTATTACAGCACCGAGGAGTGTGTGATCTGCCTGAGACCTTCGCTACACACTCGCATTGGATCATTGAATCGCTTTCAAAGCATAGACTTAACCGATTTTGTCTAAAATAAAAACTAAAAAAAAAATTAACTAATTTATATCCGAAAAGAAAAAATTAGATGATTTTTATAATTCCATGTGCTAAAAGGTTATCAATATGAATAATGATTTCGATTTGACGTTTTATATTTTGTTGAAAAAGTGACTTGAAGTTACAGCAAGATGTTTAGAACTAACGTATAATTTTTTAGTTTGCAAATTCATTGTTAAGTACAAAATAAGCTTAAATATACTTTATTTGGATCAACTAAGATTAGATCAGATGAGTCTGCACAGTACAGCAATCATTGACAAACTTTTAGAGTCGGGTCAAGTCAAGATGTCGCCAAAAAGATGCCGAATGATGGGAATCGAGTCAACGTCAAATAATTGTTGCACTGTGTTGCAGCTTTCCTATAATTATCATAATTGTTATTCAAAATTAGCTATTAATTTCCTAGTTTCCTTTTTTTCTTATTGTGGTCAATAACGTGCCGATGCGTGCAAAAATTTGTTGTTATAAATATGATTACATATACTTTATGTGTGTTTCTGTGTGTATTAACCCTAGGCTTTTCTTTTCTTTTTATACCCTGAACCCATTGAAAATGGGAAATCAGGTGTTTTGTTTTAATTTTTATAATTTGTCATTTTTGTTTTTTGTCCGTTTCCTATTTATTTAGTTTTCCATAAGGTCACATTGTTTGTATCACTGATAATGTAATTTAAAATAATCCTATTACGAAATGAAACATAAAACAATTTGCTGTCACACAATATCATGTATACGTATGTCTGTATATATGTATACTAGTCATATTCTTTCCTTGTTTTTGTTGTTGTTGTCTTGCTTTTCATGTTTGCGAATAAAGCTTTTAAAATATCAAAATTTGTTCTTGTTCATGAGATTAACGTTGTTGTCTAAGCTAAGAATGCCTTACTAAGTATTTACTGTATATACCTGTTGTGTGCATCTGAGTGTATGAAATCTACGAATTCCCTATATATGTATATTAGCTAAAAACTATCACTGTCTCACTTACCAAATATTCTTACTTAATTGCCAAAACATTAAAAGAAACAAAAAACTAAAAAAAAAAACTAATTATGCTTTCATTTGGGTCTTAATGTATGTCTGAAAGAGACAGTGCTGGCATCTACCTTTAGTAAAAACAGGACAGATGTACACAAAAAGAGTCAATACAAATCGTAATCAACAATTTGTTTCCCTGTCAATTGAATACTCATAATATCAATTTTAAAGAGTATGTCCTATAAAGACCAGATGACAGCACTGGCATGTGAGTATGTGTGTGTGCGTATGATTCGAGAGAGGTCAACTTAAATGTAACTATATCGAAATTAAATTCGTGATTACGTATGGCTGTTGGAGCCAGAAACCACTTGGTCGCATAATGTCTTTGAAAAGAGTCGCCTCCTTAGCCTACTTCGCTTCTTAAAGCATTGGTTTAGTGGACGCTTATTATGTAATGTAATAATAAAAATAACAATTACACTATCAACTAATTAACGCACAGAGTGGGGGAGAGGGGGCACCTTTTCATTTACATAATATATCAAATGCACTCGCCGGGATTCTGCGCGCAGTACTTGGGAAACAGCGCCTCGGCTTTGATGCCCAACTCAACAAGGCGATTTCTAAACACTGATATTCGTCGAAACACTTCTGGGGGCACAACATCAAAGTCATGATCATCATTAGGATCTGACCACAGACGTTCGGCCAGGGCAGCAACGCGAGGCCACAATCGATTATCTAGTTGACCCTCGTCCACTTGCTCGGTCCATAAGCATGCCTCGCCACCCAGCACCTAAGACAATCATTTGTTATCTAAATTCTTTGCAAATGGACCACTAGTCATCTATTATACCTGCTTCCGGCGCTTCTTATCCAGACGCATTCGCTCCCAAGGCCGGTGCTTATAAACGTTTTGCCAAGTGCGATAAGGCGAGCATGCGGCATCGCCAGTAGCTCGCCAGCTGCCAAAGCCGCAATCCAAATACCAAGCATCCACGTGCGAAAATATAACATTGTATCCGTTGTCCAGCAGATCATAGTTCTCCTGCCAAGTGCTGCCACCCCACACCTGAACTACGAATTGACTATTTGGAAGACACTTGGTGTTTGTGAGCGCACTTGACCACACAACCACATGCTTGGGCGCAACATTTCCATTGGCCACTTTTAATCTGTGTCGGATCAAAATCAAAATTAACAATTAACATGGCTAAACGGGTTCCACGTGGCTCACCTAGCATTCGATTGTAGCATGAAGTCGCACCAGAGGCCGCGTAGATCCGTGTCATTGAAGTACTGGGCCCAGCAATCGAGATTCACCTCATCGCCGCCCAGGTGAAAAATGTCTGTGGGCCCCGTTAGCTGCAGAAACTCTTCGTACAGGCGCTGTAGTATGAGGTAGGTGTGGTTATTCTTCGGGTTTAGTTGACCGCACGGCGGTTCACCGCAATAAAAGCTCCATGGCTGCTGATTAATGCATAGCGACAGTTCACCAAGGCCCCGCTTCGATCCCCAGTCCCAACCGTTTCCCGCATGCGCAGGTGCATCAATTTCGAGGAGCACCTGCACGCCAAAAATTTTGGCATACTCGTTGACCTCGCGCACGTCTTGCTCGCTGTACGTTTCACTGTCCGAGTAGGCGCCGTGCTCAGCCAGCTCCGGATAATGTCGCGAAATATATGGAAAGCTTTGAGCATCCGTTATGTGCCAATGAAAGCGATTCAGCTTTGCCAAGCCCATTGCTGCAATGGTGCGTTTAATGGCATCCACGGAAAAGAAGTGCCGAGAGGTGTCCAGCATTAGGCCGCGATAGCGAAACTTGGGCGCATCATTGATCAAGGAGCTGGCATAGGTGCACAGCAATCGCTCCTCATCGTCATACCAAATCAGCTGCTGCAGCGTGGCCAGTCCGTGACGTGCGCCAAAAAATGACTTAGCGCTGATGTGCACAGTCAAACGTCGATGCTCAACTGCCAGCGGAAAGAGATAGACAAAGGGTTAACAAGGATCTTACAGTAAATGATTCTAGTTATTAGCCTTGCTTACAGCTTGTCGTTAGTTCATAGCTCTCATCATTGTCAAGATTGAAGTCAAGCTCGCCTGACTCATGCACCGAGAGCTTTACATGCAGACTATCCAAATCGCCAGATCGGTGTGAGCCAAAGGTAGAGCTAAAAAGTCCGCCAGCTAGCGGCGATTCAGCACCGTCTGTGGATTTGGAAGCTGGCTCGCTGACAGAGAGCATCTCCTCTGCATGAGGCGGTGCGTATTCCAGTTGCTGTATTTGCCGCAGTTGCCTAACAAGTACATCAAAGGCCAACTTGAGGCGCTTGCGTACTTCGCGATGCGGCGTATCCAACCGCAGCTGCACATCCTCCACGGAGAAGCGCAGCGTATGACCGCTGACCAGCGACTTGGAGGTGGGATGTGGCCAAATGTTAATATCTCCACAGGTCATTGAGCAGCTGATGAAGGAGACACGCTTCACGTTGGCTCCGTTCTTGTTATAATTAACGCGCACACATCTGTCATTGTCGCACTTATACGTCCATGACTTTTCATAAGGTCTAGGAAAAGAGAAGAAACTCGTTTAGTTTATTTGAATTGGAATGAGCTGAGATTGCTATACTAACATGGGAGCCGAGCTGCGATCCTTCTGGATGTGTGGACGCAGCTGTGCTTCACTGTAGGACTGTGTCTTAATCACGCCCTGATTCCAGTACAGCACTGTCAGAATGAAAACGGCTCCTGAGAGTAGCAGCAGCAAGGCACGGCGTAGGGAGACGGCCAGTGACATCTTAAACAGATAACGTAGGCTATAAAACAGAAACCAAAGCATTTGCAAAATATTTAGTAAACGGCATGTGGAAATTCAATGTTAATCGGCAAAAAACAAGTTCTAGTCCATTGTATTCGACAGCAACTAAAAAGTTCAAAATAGACGAATATTCAACACCATCAACTTAATACTACATGTCATCCTTCTCATCATCGTGCAATCAAGAGCCTGCACCACAAGTAAGCCGCAGCAAAAAATCAAGGAACACATCGAATTCTAATTAACGCTAGTAAATTGGCTGATGGCACTAAACTGAACTGGGCTTAACAATCAATAAAATCAAAGGAAACCCCTTCTGCGGGTCACTCCCTTCTCGCTGGAGTAAACTTGTTAGCTTTGGCTTTTACGACACATAAAGCCCATGGGCAAATTGTTTGTCTTTCATATATAGCATCTGGCACGCAATGCATGGCACCAGAGCACCACAGCTCGCTTTCAGGTTCAATTTTCCATTTTGGGTTTACTGTTTGTCTGTGCCACATAATGGCGAATGAAAAACGGTTATAAAATATCCCAAACTGAGAAAATAGGTCTCGGCATATACATTTCGAGAGTTATAGTTACCCTGAACTAATGTGACTGAGCGGAAAGTGACATTTCTTTCGTTGCATGGCCAAGAACGAACACTGTTTCAGAGATGCAACTATATAGCACATTATCGTCTACACATTTATTGAAATACGAATGTGATGAAGTTTTAAGCAGAGACAGCCTTCGTCAGTGGCAATGTGTTGGTTGGCTCCTATTTCAGCTATTAAAGCCAAATCTTAAGTACTATCTAAACTTCTTTCAAATAATATTTTGTAGGTATTGAAAACAGTTAAGAATACATACGAGCCCAAACCACTATTAATTCGAACAGCATGTTTTTTTTGCAGTGCGCAATGTTTAACACACTATATTGTCAATACTACTAAAGATAACACATACCAATGCATTTCGTCTTAAAGAGAATTTTATTCTCTTCATGATGAAAAAAAAAATAATGCTCTCTTTCCAACAACAACAAAAATATGAGTAATTTACTAAAACGGTATACTTAAGAGATAAGAAAAATTTACCACTATTAATTCGAACGCTGCGTAATGTGATTTACTATCATACTCAAAACAATAATTTAATTAATATTAGAATTGTGTAACGTCGCCCTTGGCCTGAATTACACATTTAACTCGTTTTGGCATTGATTTTAACAAAGTTTTGCAATGCTCTTGAGAAATTGAGTCCCACATCTCTTGCAACTTGATTATCAAGTCAGCAATATTCCGTTGTGGCTCATTTCGAAGCTGGTTTTTCATTAGCCACCAAATATTTTCAATTGGGCTTAGATCTGGACTATTTGCTGGCCAATCTAAAACCTCCATTTGATTAGATTGCAGCCAATTTTTGGTTCCCTTAGCTGTGTGCGATGATGCTCCGTCCTGCTGAAAAGTGAATTCACCGCAATCTGATAGTTTTGGTATTGATGGCAACAAACTATCTTGTAAAATATTAATATATTTTTCAGCATTGAGTGTCCCTTCAATGAAATGAAGTCTTCCTAATCCCTTGGCAGACATACATCCCCATACCATAGTGCTCGCAGGAAACTTTGTTGTTCTTTTAAGGCAGTCTTTATGATATGTTTCTGACTTTTTACGGATGACGCGTTTTCTCGTATCGCCGACACTAACATCAAATTTAGCTTCATCGCTGAATATGATGGTATCCCATTGCCTTTGAGTCCAAGACATCCTTTCCCGAGCCTGAGTCTTCCTAATCCCTTGGCAGACATACATACATACCCATACCATAGTGCTCGCAGGAAACTTTGTTGTTCTTTTAAGGCAGTCTTTATGATATGTTTCTGACTTTTTACGGATGACGCGTTTTCTCGTATCGCCGACACTAACATCAAATTTAGCTTCATCGCTGAATATGATGGTATCCCATTGCCTTTGAGTCCAAGACATCCTTTCCCGAGCCCATTGCAAACGCTTCTTTTTGTGACGAAGCGTAAGCAAGGGGTTTTCCTTGGCCTACGAGTAAGATTACGAGTAAGTTATTGGGTACGATGCACAGCTAATAACAAAACATATTTTATAACAAGTAAGAAAGCTCTAGTCGAGACTGCTCCACTACGAGAGGTTTTTCATCGATAAAAAAGTATCGGAATGAGTTATCGTTTTTTAGTGCGCCCGATATATACGGACATTTTAAAAACAAGTTGAAGTCTCTAGCTCTTATATCTTCTGAAATCGCGTTCAAACATGCGGACAGACGGACGGACGGACAGGGCTAAATCGACTCAGCTCGTCGCCCTGATCAAGAATATATATACTTT